CAGTTTGATTCTAAGCTGAATCAGTATCTAGAACAAAATCTATAAATGTTTGGCATCTTTATAGCAGCTTCATAACAGTGTGCATAATAAACACAACTGTTCAAATTCAATATATATTATTATATGAAATAAAGGAAAACAAAATTTTTAAACACTAAGTTTGGCCAAATAACCATGCATTCAAACAGAATACATTTGACAACATGGCGAAATAATGAAAATTCAATGCATCTTTATGAAAAACTTCTTATGAAAAGGAAAGCTTAGATAATATTTCAAAATGGCTTAATCAAACAATAAGATTTAATAAACAAAATTTTAATAAAGCAATATAAAAACATTCTACTTCAACAAAATATTCCAAATACATTTTTAAAGTTAATCGATTACTTAATTTTGCTCTGATCCTCAGGGAAAGTTTTCATAATCAACATGTTTTTTGAAATTATCAGCACATTTGTGTAGAGAAAGAAAAACTTGGATATTAAGCATACTTACTAACAGTAAGCTGAGGGTAATCTGAAATTTTTTTTTTCTCTTTCAATGATGATGGACACTGAACCGAGATTTTCATCTACAGGAAAATTAAATCCTAAATTTAGTTCTACTCAACAATATTTAAATTTTCACGTCAAAAATACATTTTTAAACGTTTTAGATGAATTATGCGCTTCTTATTTCTCACGTTTACAACACCGGAACAATGATTATATTCCAACATTGATACTGATAGAAATTTTCCTTGGAACTGCATAGATTATTTACTTAAACTTCTGCTTATCATTTGCATTCTTAAATAATACTTTCTAAAAGTTAAATTGACAAAAATAAAATTTTATTATTAGTTTACAATACACATTATACAGACTATTATTTGAAATAAAATTATCTGAAGCTTGTAAATTTTCCTGCTTTTCCCACTATTAACTCTAAAATCGATGACTATATACATAAAATAAAATAAACATATAATTTTCTGATTTTTCAAAAATTATTTAATAAATATATCAAGACATTACTTACTTAGGGTCACAAGAGTGGGTAAAATTTCTATTTCATCACTGTTCACAACCCCAGCTAGTTATTTACAGTACATTCTATGTTCGTTGGAATGCGGAATATGGAAATTCCATAGGTCTGCTATGAATATGAAAATGGAAATGCATGAATATGGAAATCTACATAGATCTGCTAATCGCTACCCGTAAAAAGGATCTCTGGATATATCCTAGAAGCATTATATTCATGCAGAAAAGGCATCGCAAATGTGTTTTCTACAGAATGAATATAATGTATTTTACAAAAACACACATGTAGTATTTGCAGAAATACGGGATTATGCTATGAAGAATGCTTTTCACTAGGAATATTCGGAATCTCTTTTTAGAGTTCTATTCAGCTACGTTATATACAGTAGTAATAACCAAAGGATGCAAATAGACTTTAGCACTAACGCGATTCACCCCAACAAAATCATTAAAATGTTACTGCAAATGGGCTTTAACACCATTTTTGCAGGTTTGCATTTCATTAATACACAAATTTTACTGCGCATACATAAATCAAAACATACTAAAAATATACATACCTTATAATTATCGAATACACCATTGACTATCCCCGAACACATGCAAACAGCCGCTATTGTACTTTCACAACATAGAAACAAGGGGAATAGCAGGCTCGCGCTGAATGCTTTGCTTTCATTGGCCACAAACTTCAGTGCAGTGGAAAAACAAGTGAACCATGTTTTCGTGCTGCCTCTTACCAGCACGAAACCATTAAATGGTGTAACACTGAACTGAAATTTTTTACAGTGCAGATACGTTATATACAGTAGTAATAACCAAATGAGCGAAGCAACTCTTGCTACTTTTAGATGTGAATTTCTATAGGTAAATCTTAATCCGCAGTGCAATGAGAATTTTACTGTTAAGTAGTTGTAATAGTTAGGATATAGTTAGTTAATTAGTTAGATACAGTAGGAAAATGCTACGTGTGTTACTAAAGTAAAGTCTTCCAACAAAAAATTCTTCCTTTTCATTCTAGTACACTGAAACTTATTCTTGAGTTATTTAAAGGGTACTAAGTAAAAGAAATCTAGAACGTTATTTAAAAATAAATGAAGAAGGAAAAATTATTTTTTCATTTATTTCTCTTCATATACAAACAACATTTCTTCTTTATAATCTAGAGGGAAAAAATTATTTTAATCCCAAAAGGGTTAGTCTCGAAACAAGGATTTTGGTGTTGTTTCATTTTTTATTCGAGTCTGTTGCCATTCGGAAAAATGTAAGCTTTCATATTTAATATGTCTGCCGTTAATTAAGCAATTAAATATTTAAAAGCAATAGATGCAGTTGTAAGGTTTTAAGTTAAAGTAACCAAATTTCTTTTTAGTTTAAGTTACTCTTTCCAGTAAACTCTTATTTCAACTTCCCTTCAGAATGAGCGCACGGTTCAGCTTTATGCTAATTTGTGTTGGAGCCAAGTTTTGTATTTAAGGTTAGTGAGAAACTTCTCAAGTGTGAGAGAGCTTTTAGTCTCAGACCACGTCGGCTCGGTGGACGTTCGCCAGAATAGTTAGTATTTAAATTCTTACGCCTTAGTGCTATTCCTCAAATACTGATGGAAGTTATTTAAGTGCGTTAGTACTTAGCAAAGGCTTGCTACGCACCATAAATAGGCCAATCTCGCGTTTAAGCTCTGTGACAGCAACTATTTAAATGTCTACTGAAGTTTTACTTTTAAATTGCTTGATTGTTCAAGACCCAAGCGCGATTATTATTTTCTCTGTTATCACTCTCGAGTTGGGAGTTGCTGTAAATAGTGATTTCAATAAAAGGGTCTTTTACACCCTTCTTACGTAGTAATTCTTCTAGCACTCTTAAGAACATAGCTGCATTCAGCTCACTGTTCGAGTTCAGGACATTGATACTAGCACCATAATGTTTGCCAAAAGTATGCACAGAACATTAAGTCCTGATACAGTACTTAAAAAATATTACTTTTTTACTTCTGAATATTACATACTTTTCACTTTTTAAATATGCAGAAGGTATGTAACTTTCCCATGTTAATCTTAAAGCATATTCATCTAATTCGCTATAAAATATTTTGTTGTTCCATCTGGTCTATATCTATTGATAATCTCTACTGACAAATCATATTAAACTTAAAAAAAAAAAAAAAAACAAAAAAAAAAAAAAAAAAAAAAAAAAAAAAAAAAAAATATTATAATCAAATTAGCCTAGAGCCATCAAATTTTGAATAACGTAGTCCTTCACCCGAGCATGGGAACGCAGAAGCTAGACTTTTGAATTCGAATTTGTTTTAATATTTATTTCATATTTTGTAAACCTTACACGGATTTTCGATTAACAAACTCAACGATTTCAAAACGAGCAGTGGCATCATCGCTCGGAAGAAAACATTTTTATCTCCAGCGCGCGACAATTAAAAATTTATGCAATTTTTAACCTATTTGGATAAAAAAAAGTATGCAGTAAGAGGGTTAAATACGAATAAAAAAAAGCAGCACATAAAAATCTTCTCTTACATCTAAGGCACAGAAACAAAAAGCAATTAGTTTTATAAAACTATCATTTTTTAAACAGTTTTAATATAATTAGCATATTATTTATAATTTTAAATGTTAAATTTTTTTTTTCAGTTATCCTTATTAAAGTACAAAAAATAAATAACAAACATAAAACTATGAGAAAAATTCTTTTTTAAAATAAAAAAGCCTTTTAACTGCATGACTGAGTATTTAAAACATAATTAAATAAGAATATAACGCAGAAATGGGTTTCGTAGCAAGATACACAAAACCCAATTATCTGGAAAGAAAAAAACACATATTTTTCAATACATTAAAATATAAATTAAATAATTATCAAGATATTCAGGAATATTTATTGCATACCATTTATTAAAAAATTTTGAAAGAAATTTGTATTTTTTGTCATGACTTCGGGCAATGGGCTAGATGGCTTGCATAACAATAAAATTGCATTCTAGTTGTTACCTTACTTGAAATTTGATTAAGGCAACCTTTTAGACAATTTATGCATTAAAATCCATTAAAAAATATATATTTTTTGGAGGAGAAAGTTTCAAAAATTAAATTTAATAAAAACGTAAATTACTCATTTTCATATCTATACATACTGCAAAACTATACAAATTATTTTTAAAAGCTTATTTTGGAAGGAAAAAGAAGTTTCAAATAATAACTTAATTAAAAATGTATTCATATATATATATGCAAAAGCAATATAAAAAGATATAAAATATTAATATACAAAAAACAATAAAACTGAAAAATATTCGTGACACTTGACTATATTATTCATAAGATGTAAATTGATGTATTATTGATGTAAATTTCATATGTTTTAGTCAAATATTCCTTACATAAATGAAAGATATTTTAAATAAAAATAAAAGGCCATACATGGAATTTCATGATTTGCAAACCTTTTATTTTAATTGAAATAAAATATTTTAAACATTCAAATTACAATTTTGTAAATATATATATACTTTTAAAATGCAACTCAATGAAAATGCTATAGAAATACAATAATAGTATTATCTACATTAAATATTTTATGATTTATTTAAAATGCTCACTCAATTAATGAGCTACAACTTTTCAGTTTTAAGCATAATTTTCAATATCATTATTTCAATATAATCATTACAAATGAGGAAATTTTTTAATATCTCACTTAAATAATAAATGCTTACATTCACATATTCAGAATACATATAAATGCCCTAAGAGAGCAATTTACAGGACACATATAAAGATATATTCAATACAATGGAATGCACATTCTACGAATTATAAAATGTGTATAATTTCTATAAAATTATTTTATAATTATGAACTATAAATAAATATTAAGTTATTATTCATGTAAAAAGCATGGAAAAGAAGAAGAATTTAAAAAAAAAAAGTATCACCATTTTTAAACATAATTTAAAAAGTATTTAATGAATAAATAATTTTTTCAGCTGTCACATTAATTACTGTGGTAACTGCACTTTTTTGTAAGTAAAGGATAAACTACAAAGTTCCAATTTTCATCCCATTCTAACCTTCCATATTTTGTTAGATTTTCTCTGAATTTATCTAAATCAGTCTTTTTTGTAGGGAAGTCATGTAAAAAATTCTGAAAAAATTGAAATAATAATTTCTATGAAACTAGAATGCAATTTTTAAAACATTATAACAGATTTTAACTGAACATAAATATTTCTATAACAGCATTGACATTTAATCATTACATAAAAATTATTATGCATCGATTTTCAGAATAAAATAACTTTTACTTATGAATGTACTTTAAAACTGAGAAGAAAGTTTTAGTCAAATAAATATTCCTAACATACATGAAAAATGTTAAGTCGAATTATTTCATTTTCCTAAAATTTTCTGTACATTAACCGAGTATAACATATTTTTTACATCTAACACATTAAATAAATTTTCAAAACATATATTCATTGTATTGTACCAATTTGACATTCTTTTATTTCAAGGAAAATACTTCTTCAAATTAAATTTCCAAAATGAGAATGTAATTTCCCTGAAGTTCTAAATTTAATGAACAATTTTGATATAATTTTTTTAAATTAAATATCATGCATAAAATCTGAATACCTGAAACTGAAGACTCAACTGCCGACTGTTAGAAAATATTTTACCAAATACACCATCTTTGACTAGCTCATGAAGGCTGTCAAATGAAAAAATTTTTAATATTAAAAATTTATACTTAAAAAGAGAGAAATCAATTATTACAGAAAATAATCAATTTTAAATAAAAGCCTCTGCTTCACTTCGAATTTGCTTCAAAGTGTCACTTACAAAATTTATTAAATTTAATTTTACATTCAACAAATTAGAGTAAATTAAAACAAATTTAATTTATTTTTTAATGCTGCATAAATTAGTATGTACAGTCTGATTTATACATCATACAGAACTAGAACTTTTATAATAAGAGGTGTTTAGAATATAAAATCTACAAACTAAAACCTGTATAACAGAGAGGGAACACAAAACCTATACACTAAAACTAGTATAACAAAGCCGGGAAATCAAATATAATGTAAATAAAAAATGATATACGCAATGTGAACGACTTAATAAAACACAGAAATGGCTTATTCATAATAACAAACAAATACAAAATTCTTAATTTATTTAATTATGTATTCACGGAACTCGGTGCAAGCTGATATGTTGATTTATTATTAAAATGCTTAGTTATAGCAATACTTCAGCCATTTTAAGCTCAGCGAAATAATCCTACAGAGAGCTATGATGATGAAGTCTAACAGATAAATTCCTTGTAAGGCAAGAAAGAAGATCAATTTTGTCAAAGAAATAAAAGAGAAAGGAAGACCACAACCAATACTTTAGGAAGGGACAGTCAACATTACACACCAGGCACCAGGAAAATCCAGGTATTGGTGACATAAAACAAAACAGCCAATGATACAGAAAATTACACTTTTATGTATTCTGTAGAGAAAAATCTAACTAAATTATTATTTAATCATTAATTTACCAACATCTAAACTATGATTAAATAATCCATTAATTAATGAATGCTAAGCAAGACTGGGTTAAATGAATGCAATAAAGAATACAAAGAATTATAATTCCTTCACCAGTTAGTGTAAATTGGGGGGATGTTACATGTTCCATTTGAAGATAAATTCATCAAAATTTATAAGTATCAATTGTTTAAATTTTAGATCTAAACATTTAATTCAGCTACTTTCTTTTTTCCAAAAGATATTTGAATAGTGATCAACTTTTTGGTTGCGCTATTTGCAGCAGTTGGTCTTTATAAGATTTCAATAGAATAAGCAGTTTTATTCTATATCATAGTCAGCATAACAAAGAATTTCCTTATCATAATAAATGTGACTGGAAACTACTTCAAGTTCTTGTGAAATTAATCTACACATCTGAAATCTACACATTTTGAACAGTAGGGTTCAAGTTTCTATTCTTTTTTCAATGAAAAATACATATTCCTACCAAAGTTGTAACTTATTTTTCAGGTACCCACAACTCAGGAATAGCAGCTTACCACTATCAGGAATGGGAGTTTTGAAGCCGCAAACTAGTTGCGGATGCAAAGGCCTTTCTTTTTCTGGCAGTTTTTCACATTGCACTTCATATGGCTTCCGTAGTGATAAAAAACTTCACTTTATTCCTGTTTTTGTTAATTCAAGAGAAGGATAAAATATTTCTTTCTTGGAAAGATGCAACTGCTTTATTTTCACTTAATGGTAAATTTAAAATTTTCATCATTTTTAATACAAAATTTTCATCATTTTTAATAAGCCGGAGGAGGGGTCAATTTCTTAAGGAACCCTTTTCTCCCACAAAAATGTACAATTATTATTTGGTTTTGGTCTTGCTATGCTATTTTTTGACAATAATTACTGTCAAACTTGGTAATGAATTACTGGTTGCCAGCAAAATCAATAATTACTAACTAAAACACAACAAATCAATGTTTATTAAAAAAAAGTTTTCATTTTATAAGTCAGTAAAACATTCTCTGTGAGTAGCTGAAGCAATTTAACAAATTTCTATCAAAGGAACAGAAATTTCCAATTCTGAAAAGTGTATATGCATGACGCATCGTTGACAAAGAGATATAATAGATGAAAAATAAAGATGTTAAGTTACATAGTCCCCCCCTACACCAATGATTTTTCATTCTTAACCCTCTGATTGGCCCCAATTCCTATCACTGGAGTTTCACCAAGAAAGCCCAGACTTCCAAAAACTACCACGAGAAAGAGTTATTTCTTTGATTTTAATGCCAAAATGCCCCTGGCACTTTATACCTGGATTTATGTACTTTTAATATATTGCCTTAATTTCTTGGGCATATTTCAATATGCATGTATATATATGTTCTTTATAGACATCACAAAGTTATTCTACATATATATATGTGTGTGTGTGTATATATATATATAGAATAACTAAAATATATATAGAATGTGTATATATATATATCGCATTACCGGTCAGAGGGTTAAGAGAAGAAAAAATGTTCTTTGCTATGCTAGTAGTCTGAAGATTTTGATCCTTTGTTGTGCTTCTGAAGCTTTTGATCATTTTCATGTTCTGCAGTAGTATATTATACTACACAGGATAGCCATATAATACAGTACAAAGTCCGAAATCCAGATGTCCGAAATTCAGATGTCCATTATCCAGAATGACCTAAATTCGGACCTCAAAGCTAAAAACTTTTTTTTTTTTTTTTTTTTTTTTTTTTTTTTGGGGCATGCTTTACGCATGCGCATTTGATTTTTTCTTCCATAATAAAACATGTGGAGATTTCACTTAAAAATTCTGATTCTTAATTTCACTTAGGCACTAAATAAAATACCTCATTTGAAAAACAATCATGTAAGCATAAATTTGTGAGATTAATAATTTGGCTCCATAGCTGAGTGTCTGCTTGGCATACATCTCAAAAGTTCTGTTCCATTCCGTTTACCACTGTTTGCTGCGCTTACCGAAACATTCACTTATTTTATATCCCTGACGCCGACCTGGCAAGTCATTACTGATATTGATTTTGCTTTCATCACTGCATGTTTATGAATACATGACAGCTTCAGTAATAACTCATGCAGTGATGTCTAAACTTTTTTTTTTTTTTTTGATAATTGAATAACAAGAGTATGACAACCTTTTATGTTAACATTACGCTTCGCGATAATTATAGATTTTTAAATGTTTCTAAGAAATGTTGACGAGGAAAAATTAAGCAAAAATTAATTTTCATATGCTAAAAATAGATTTTGTTAATGAAACTCATATGCCAAAAGATTACATTTAGTGCTATTTTAATTAAGAGTAACTAATACCTTATTCACCATAAACCCAGATGCGGCGGCAGACAGAATATGTCGGCACCGGATGCCGGATGGCAGAATTTAGAAAAGATGAAATTTTTTGGAATTTGGGGAAGCAGCACTGAGCAACAAAATTAAGGGATGAGAAGTTTTTTATGATTTAGGGAAAGCACTGGGATGCAAAGCTTAGGTACGGTGAAAATTTAAAACTTAGGAAGGCGCTTCGTAGCAGAAAATTTAGGACCCGCAGAGACTGCACTATGCAGTATTTAGTGCTGGCCGTAGATAAAGCATTAAGTATATGTGCGAGTTTATTTATTCAGGACTTGTATTAGTTTTAAGCATGTGCAAGAAATAAACGTAGGTATAGTAAATAACTAAACTAATACAATTCAGGCTTAATTCAGTACGCAATAGGAGCAAGACAAAATTTAGTGAAACAACTTAGCTTCCGTCGCCGATCTTGTGATACACAACCAATAATGTATAATAGTTGCTATTAAGCTAAACTAAAAAATTATCTTTACTGATTCTAAGGCATTTCAGTTAATGCAGCGGACTGCGCTGCTCCCTAATCTTTTAGTTTGATCCAGCTTATTATTTTTTGCAGACTGTTATTGTTACGGCAATTTTGTAAAAACTAAGCTTGAACTTTCGAATACGCCGAGCAGAGCTCCCAATTCTGGAGCTGCCAAAGAATGAATCTACAAAGCAAAACCATGTTTTGATGTCCATTAAACAAAAAGTGGAAATTACTGCAAAAAATGGATAAAATAAAGGCATATCCGTCTCAAAATTAAGCCAGGAGTATGGCATTAGAAATTCAACTGTATATGACATAAGAAAAAAGAAAAAGGAATTTTTTGAATTTTTTGTGGAAGTATCTTAAACAACTTACATTGAAAGAAATGTTTAATAAAGTACACAAATAAATATTAAACTTTTTTTTTTTTTTTTTTTTTTTGTAAATTTTGATACTCCTTTGATCATAATTGTTCTTTATTTCATAAATTACGATTTCATATTTTTAAATTGTATAATTTCTGCATGCCATCTTGCCAGATTTAAAATAATGATTTAACATCCGGAAAAATCCCAAATCTGGATTTACCGAAGTCCTGACGAGTCCGGATTTCGGACTTTCTACTGTATTTTGAATCAAATAAGCCTACTTTAACGGAATTATTAGTGAAATGTGTAATTGCATATTAATCCACATCTAAGATTTCTAAATTGTTAATAATGGCACTCTCGCAGTTTTATTCTGTGATAACATTTTCTTTGCTAACAAATATTTAACTAGCTTTTGCAACCATGTATAAGTCATCTTCTGTTCACTGTACATTTAATCGTATTCCGTTTCCTTTCTGAGTAATACATATATATTAATTTTCTGTATTGTCTATGGGATTTGCCAAATACAAAAGCCTAAGAGTTTTGCTTCTTCCTATATTAAGGTATCATGCCAAAATATTGAGAATGCACTAATTTCCATGCAATGAAAATACACATTATTTGAGAAAGAAATGCAAAAGTTAACACAGAAAAGTGAATGCAGACTATAAGTTAAAAGAAGAAATAACTTATAAAGAAGAGGATTACTTTTTTTATCAGTACAGATTTATTTATTACCGACACCTGCATATTACAGCAATATGAAGACAGATATTTATTAGCAAGTTATTACAACAGCCACCATGAAAATAAAGATATCAATTTATAAGTGCTGAAAAATGTTCATAAATATTACAAAGCTATTGAAAAATCAAATTACATTCTAAAGACTTCCTGTATTTTACAACATATTTCAACATATTTGATAAAAATTGCTTTCACCGAGCTGTGTAGAATGACTGAAATTAATTTCATACTGTATTATACAAATTCTACCAGATTTATTTATTTATTTATTTATTTATTTATTGTGAAATAAAAAATTTTAAATTTCAATTTCAATACTTTTACCAATATGCATAAGGATTTTAAAATTAATATTTCATCAAAGTTAATCAAAAATTTTAAAAATTTTAATTTAATTAAAAAAAATTTCCTGTCTTTATATTTAAACAAATACTTGACTTAATTAAGACAATGAAATTAACAAATAATAAAAAATGTATCTAATTTTTTTTCATTTCCTTTTCTACTCAATTATATTATAATTTCAGCAAATACCTTTTCCTTTGTTGATGCACAAATTCATTAAAATATTTATATTTCCAGCCCACTTTTTTTTTTGACTAATTACTCTATCTTATACTCATTTTGTCTGATTAGTATGACTGATCTTAAAATTCTTTCTTTTTTGCATAATTGTATTATTTTCATCACTGCCATCTCATGAAACATAAACCTTGTTTTTAGTTATAGCACTATATAATTACATATCAGTTCCAAAGAAACTAACATTTATATAGTTTTCATTAAAAAAATCAGCAGTTTAAACTAATTATATAAAAAATATATGTAAGATAAATGAAGAATATGTGAAAGATTAAATTAACAGCGTAAATTAATTTCCCTTCTCTATTCTAAAGATAGCAACATCTATTTGCACTGCATCATTTCGAGAAAAATCTATGTCATACGACTCTTACGTAATTCTAGTGATGTAAATTGAACTAAAGCAGCCAATAATAATTTTACAGCAATATTAACTATCCAATCAAAATGCTTTGAGAACCAAAACTAACTCAGTCTGAATAAGATTTCACCCTGAAAATAATGCACTTGCTTTCTATGCTTTGCCTTAGCTTGACTGCAGTAGTCTGTCTGCTTCTTCTTTTTTGCTGCAAATCTATTACAAATGCCCCCTGGAACAAGCACATTTAATGTGCTGACTTGAGTGTAGCCGCAACATGTTGCTGAAAATAAAACTGAAGATTTATACTGCCTTCTCCTCCAATTTCCTAGTCATTATGGATCAACACTTCTATGCCATCAAATTCCTACTTCTGAATATATTACATATATATAATAGATTCTGAATAGTCAATACAGTATGTAATAAAATAAAACATACCACCACAAATAAAAATGAAATTAATCTAAGAAATAATCTAATATAAACTTACCACTGAAATTCAAAAGCACATACAGGTAAACAGCATCCAAACATATCAACCACTTTCATGGGAAGATCAAACCCACTTGAAGAATTATGTAGACTGACACCCAAATCAGCACAAGCTATAAATATTTTATTAAGAAATATAAGAAATACATGAACAATTTTTAAAACATAAAAAATCTCAGTTGTCATTAAAAAAAAAAAAAATTGGGGGACAGAATTTTTATTTTTTTATTAATCTCAATACGATAAATTAAATTTTAACTTCAAATGAAAACTTCCTAAAAGTACATAAAGAAAGATGATTTTATAGCATAATTGAGTTGTCATTAAAAAATAAAAAATTTTGGGACAGAATTTTTATTTTACTATTCTTAATACAATAAATTAAATTTAAACTTCACATGAAAACTTCCTAAAAAAGTACATAAAAGATGCAAATAAAATGCTACTTTGAAATAAAAAGAATCATATGTTGAACAGTTAGAAATATTTTAGATTATTATAAAAAAAAAACTATGTAAATAAATAATTTTAATGATCTATTTTTTAAAGTAGGGGTCTTCAACCTTTCACGCCCAAAGGCCACATCAATAAATTCACAAAGATCCGCGGGCCACATGTCTGTCAAAAAAATAGTGTAGTCAGAAAATTTATATAAAAAGGGAGGTTTGTTTTGCAAGACTACAATTGATTCTAAGCGAAGAGATAGTAGTTACAGATTTGTATTTATATATACATTGATTTCAAAAAGTCTAATGGAAAAATCGAGGTAAAATGTTTTGCAACTTTTTTTAACTATGAAGAAAAAAGTATAAAAATGATTGCACAGAACCATATAACAAAAGGCATTTACAATGAAAACAAGAAAAAAAAACTTACATTACTATGTGGTTATGAGGGAGATGGTGGTCACTTTAGTTTTAATGTGAAATTTCACATTGTTTTTGCTTGATTAAAGCTTCAATATCCAGTTTAATCTATATTGTTACAATTCCTATTCCTCAAAATGTCTATCAGGCATGTTCTTGTTTTTGATTTAAGGATTTTCATTTTACTAAAAGCCTGTTTACATATGTAGGTACTGCCAAAGATAGAAGACATGAAGAGTGCATGTTTTCGAATTCCTGGATACTTGTCTTCGGTCTCGTTCTTCAAATAAAAATCAGTTAATGTAGAATCTTCAAGAAACTTGCATTTTACTGCAGAGACACACTGTAAATCTATGAATTCTAATTGAAGTTCAGGTGGAACACTTCCAACGTCTACTGAAAATAGCAAGGAGAACATTGTCATAAATATTTCATTTTCACGAAAATTGGAAAATCTGCTTTTAAATTCCTCTTTCAAATATGAAATACCTTGTACATAATTAACTATTGAATTCTATGTTGTAGAGTTCTTCAGACACTCCATCAATTTTGGAAAGTGAGTGGAATTTTTATTTAGCAACTGACTTCCCCACAGGATTAATTTTGTCTCAAAAGCTTTCACAAAGTAATAAAGATTATAAACAAGTAAATCTTTTCTCAGTACAGTAAGCGGTAGTTCAAATCACTTAGATGACCTGTAATATTGACAAGAAATGCAAAGTCTGTCAACCATTTCTCAACACTGAACTCGTGAATAGATTTCTCTTTAGATTCCATGAATTGTTGAACTTTGCTCTTCAAAGAAAACAGGCACTGAAGCATCTTTCCTTGGCTCACCCAACGTACTTCCAGGTAATAAATCACTATATTCAGCTTCCAAATCACTCAGAAACTGTTGACATTTCCTTAACATTTTAGCGAGAATGAAATTAACCACTTTAACAACAACATTCATCACATGTTTAAAATTTGAGAACGACTTCTTGCACAAATATTCTTCGTGGAAGATGCATTGGAAAGTCATCATAGTATTATTTCCACTTGCCTTCACATCAGATTTAAATAATGTTATTACTCCTATTTTCCAGTCATAGATTTAGCACCATCCGTTTTTATAGCAGATATATTAAGAAGTCAACTTACATTTATGCAAAGTTTGTGTCAGACTCGAATACAAATCTGTTCCTCGTGTTGTACCTTGAAGTGCAACAACACTGACTAATTCCTCTAATTGTGAAGTTTCTATCAACGGCACGAATAATAATGGATATATGTGCAGTATCTGTTGCATCTATTGATTCATCCATCACTACAAAATAAAAATCAAACGTTTTGCATTTTGATTTTAATTTACTGAATATATCTGTTGCGAGATCCTCTATGCGTCTCGCTACTGTCACACCAGACAAGCTAATATTCGATATGACTTGAGCCTGTGATGGAAAAAGCACATCAACTGCACTCTGAAGACATTCTTTTACAAATACTCCATCAGCAAAGGCTTTTCCACTTTTACTAATTTTTTTTTTTCTGCTTTTATGTAACTAACACGAACACTATTTTCAGATTCTTTATGCACTGTAGTGAAGAAAGACTGCTGAAAATTTAAATTTGATTTTAATTCACTCACCTTATCATTTCGAAAATGACATTCCAATGCAGAATATTTCTCACTGTGCTTAGTATCATAATGTCTCTTTAATAATATTTAATTTAATTTGTTAACTAAATGTGATTTACATATTTTCCATGAATATCTTGTGTTTTGCATACCACTTGCCATTATTCGCGGTTAACGTATCTGCGGTAAAACTTGGAACATAGTACACTCGAATACGAAGGCACTATAAAAAAAATTAAATGATAAGAGCAAAATGTTATAATTCCAAGTAACTGAAGCTATTATATTGTCGCAAAGTTATGTTCTTTTCTGAAGAACTTGTTTTATATAACAATACTGTAAGATTTAAAGTCCCTCCCCCACCAAAAATAAATAAATAAATAAATAAATATGGGAATGATTTTGCATTCGAACATGTCAGTTATGAATATAGTTAATTTTATTTCAGACAAAATGCAAAGATCCTTAGTTCAGAAAATTGTAGAAGAGATTCAGTTTCCTTTAATTTTAGATGAATCAACAGTGCTTAGTAAGGGTGCATGTCTTATCACATAACATTCGAATGCAACTTTTTAGTATGGAAATCCGGTTAACACATTTTTGATTTTAATGTGCTTTAAGAAGATATATGATAAATTATGATATATTTTGATTTCTTTGTTAAGTGAATTAAAACGACATAAAACTTAGTGAGTGTTAGTTGTGATGGTGCATGTGTAATGCTGGGGAAACAAATCATAATGTCTATAAAATTTCTTAAAATTCTTCAAATTCAAATGTGGGGCCACTAAAATGTCTTCAGCAGGCCACGGGTTGAAGACCCCTATTTTAAAGGATACAAACAGTTAATTTATATGAAATATTTCTTAAAGAATACAAATGGTTATCAATTAACAATCCACTGCTTAAGTCTACAGCAAAATAAAAGTGCTTACATATTATTTCTGAGATGAATGTTTCAATTCTCATAGATACCAAAAATTTTCTTAACTACATTCATAGAACACTACATGCTACACACTTTTACTGGGGGGGGAGTGTAAAGACAAAACATGAAAGAATTTTTTTAAAAAATGGTAAAATCCATGCACTTCTCAGATAATATGCAACTATGAAACGTGAAACAAAAACTGTCAAAATTTTCATTCTTCAGTATGAAAATGAATTCTGAACAGGCACTACTAATCACAAATGCAAAGTGACTGGATGGAAATACTTTTTTTCCGCTTATAAAATCAAATTTCATTTCATTAATTTTTAGATAATATTCAATATCAGAGAGAAAAAAATCATCAGAGAGAAAAAAAAAAGGGGAAAAAAATCATCATCATATATATATATATATATAAATTCATTCTGCTCCCATAGCCTACCAAAATATTTAGTAAGCAGGAGCTAGGAATCTGAAACAGTACATACATACCAAGACAGAATTTAGTGATATTTGACAGACGAGAAAGCGTGACAACTGAATTGAGTAGAATGAATTGTAAGATTATTTATTACACAACATGCATATTATTACATATTTTATATTTTAATTTGGTACTGGATCCTGAAAATCAATCAACTTACTTGAGTTTCTTCTTTTCTATTTCTTTCCTTTCCTCCCCCTTCTTTTTTTTTTTATGTATGTGTATGAAAATTTTGAGACAATCATGTTAAAAATATATTCAAAACAACTATTCTCTTTAGCAACACCTTTTACCCTACAAAAATTTCACCCAAAATTCCTTCCATTGCAAGCATATCCCACATGTTCATGTTTGGAAGTTCGATTCAAGATTAAAATCATGATTTGTCTAATGGAACTAGAAATACAACAGATAGGACACATGAAAATGGCGGCATTGCATATTAACCTCTTCATTTAAACAGTATCATATATGACACAATTCAGTTTCCTTCTATGAATCCACCATATGAAATGCAATACAGAAGCAAAATGTAGCAAATAGCCTTTGTGAGTTTTGTATCAAAATTCTTCAATTTATATCTAAATTGATTCAAATAATCTTAACTTCTGGATAAGCTGAACACTGGACATTCCTATATTTAGTATATATATATTTATGAAATAATATTAATGTATATTAATAGTATAATACTCATTGTACTAATGAGCTATTAGGACAATAACTTTAAACTCTTAGATATAAAATGTAAATATAAAAAAAAGCAATCCTACACATCTAACAGCATTTTTTAAATATAAATTTGCATTTATTCCAAAATGGTAATACTAAAAAAATTGTCTTCAAATTCTCATAAATAACAATGCAGATTAAAATATTTATTTTCTAACCAGCCTGGCATCTTGTTCAGTTAGGAAGAATTCGGTTATTGTAGTAACTATTTTAAAGTATAATTTGAACAAA